TAACATTCATTAATTTGGAAAATGTAGTTTTAAACCCCCTTTATCGTTCCAGTTTTACTATGACTGCGGAAACACTAAATACATTTTGAACAATAGGGCCCTACAAACTTTTTCTTTATTTCTTTTCTTTTTTTTCAGAAATTCTTCTTTTATTTTTCTAAAAATCAAATTAAGGCATTAAACATTTATTTTAAATCAAATGAAAATTAAACCCTTTTATTTTTTACAAACAAACTGAGGTTTAATAATCAGTTACAGTTACTAAGAAAAAAATGTAATTAAAGGGATAGTTCACCCAAAAATGAAAATTCTGTCATTAATTACTCACCCTCACGTCGTTCCAAACCAGTAAGACCTTCGTTGATCTTCAGAACATGAATTAAGATATTTTTGATGAAATGTGAGAGCTCTCAGACCCTGCATAGACAGCAACACAACTGTAATGTTCCCAGGTCCAGAAACGTAGTAAGGACATCGGTAAAACAGTCCATTGACATCAGTGGCTCAACTTCAGTTTTGCGAAGCTACGAGAATACTTTTTGAGCGCAAAGAAAAACATTTTTTTCAACAATTCTTCTCCCACGAGTTACATCTTCCGCAATTTTAGAGAGTATCACAATTAGGGTTGGGTACCGTTCACATTTTCACCGGTACGGTACCGGTACCTGAATTTCGGTGCCGGTACCCAACGGTACCTTTTTTCGGTACTTTACTCTCTGCGTAATTACAAAAACAATTATTTCAGTGAAACAATAAGTCCAAAAGTCTCAATTTTAACATTTTGAACAATAGGGCCCTACAAACTTTTTCTTTATTTCTTTTTCTTTTTTCCCTTTTCCTTGTTTTAATTTTTCTGAAAATCAAATGAAGGCATTAAACATTTATTTTAAATCAAATGAAAATTAAACCCTTTTATTTTTTGGCAAACAAACTGAGGTTTACTGTTGAAATTAATACATGGAAGAAAAATTGTGAGAATATTCCTTTAAAACATTTTTTAATAGGCTAATAATTTTATTTTTATTTTTTTAATTTGATAGAAAATTTAATATTTAAAGATGTACATTATACTGTACAAAAGTAATACAAGAGTAATATATTTCTGTTACATGTTAAACCGTACTTTTATTTTGACAGGTTGCCATGAAGTTTCTGTGTGTATACAGTATGATGATGCTAGTTTTCTCAAATCAAACTGTAAAATTCTCACGACTCCATCAGAGTAGGTGGCGGTATGCACCTATGAAATTGGTTCGCAACCCGCCATAAAACCAAAAGAAGAAGAAGAAATTCTTGCGAAGTGACTCTCACAGCAGCTCTGGAGATTACATTTTTGTGTTCATGCTGTCATATAGTCAGACGCAGAGGCTGAAAATCACCGCGAGCTTCACGCGTGCTTCAGTATTTGTGTAGTAAACAAAACCGTGTTTCCGCCATTCATACATGGAGAGGCAGGAACATGCAGGATTCATATTTAAACCGTCTTTTTGCATTTT